ACGAGAGGACCCACAGGCGCCCAGGCGGCCTCCCAGATCGTCAGCCTCCCCCCGCGATGCCTGCACCCCTGTGCTGTGCGAGCTTCTCAGGGACCATGGGCCGGGACCCACCTTCCTTCTAAGTGCTGGCAAAAGTTTTAAGAAGTTCTGGTTAAATGGGACCCTTTCTAGGCCCTGATGACCTTCCCTGGGGCCGAGGACCTGCCCCTGTCTGCCCGCCTCCCCCCTTTGCCCCTTTCCTGGCAACCCTGCCCTTCACCAGAGCCCCGTTCGCTGGGCTCCGCCTGCCGCCCCGTCCCTGCTGGGGGCTCCCCTTCTCGCCCGCTTCTCTCCGTCCAGCTCAGCCTGGAAATCAGCCCAGCTCCTCGTTAGAACTGGGGGCAGAGAGCAAGTCACATGGTCCCGAGGGGCTGGGGCCGCCTCTGTGCTCGGGGCCTCTGTCTCCTCGTCCCCCAGCCCCAGCTGGACCAGAGCCCGTCCTGGCTGGAGGGGCCCAAGCCCCTGGGACACAGCGCAGCCGCCCTCGGGGAGAACGGGGCTGTCCCCACCGCCTCCTGTCCCTGCCGTGGCCCGAGCTGCCCCACTGCCCGGCGGTGGGAAAGTCTGAATCTGTTGCTATTTTCTCTCTGTTATCGGGCCCTTATCTGGCTGCTGTGTGCCGCCCAGAGGCCAGGGTCTCTCCCTGGCAGCGCCATGCCCCCTCCCGCCCACCGGCTGACCAGGGCCAGCGGGACAGGAGGCCGGGCCATCCTCCAGCCTAGGGGGAGGTCTTTCTCTTCCACCCACACTGCCCTCCTCAGGCCCCAGACCCTCATTCCCCTCCCTCCAGCCGTGCCCCTTGGTCCCCACGCCCCTGTCCATGCCCCGCCCCCCATCGCACCGCCAGAGGGGCAGGTGTGGCACCTCCCTGGAGAGTTGAAACAATAACAACAGTTGTAATAATAACCCCAGGTCTGTGCTCGGCACCCACGGGCACCACATTGCTGAGCCCTGAGCCCAGCCCATGACACGAGGCTGCTATAACCCACAGCTTTCCGTGAGGAAGCTGGGCTCGGGGAGGCGTGGCCTGCACAAGGCCACAGGCCTCAGAGTCCCGCTCTTCCTTCTGCCTGGAGTGCTCTTCCCCAGCCCCGCCCACAGGCAGCCTCCTGTCCCATCCCAGATCTCCACTCACTCGTCACCTCCTCCAGGAAGCCTTCCCTGACTGTCACTCCACCTCTCCTTGGTGGCAATGACCACACTTGGATTTTTCACGTTTCTTTCCTGGGGGGTACGTGTTGGCTGCTGCAGGGTCCCCAGGACCTTGTGCAGGGAGATGGACTCGGGGGAGGTTTCATGAGTGAATGAAGAGCGCAGGAGTGAACGGCAGTTGAGAAGGAGGCCGTGGGCGCTCAGGTCCACCGCACCCCAGGCTGTGCAGGTGGGGATGTCGGGGGACGAGCAGGGCCGCATGCCCACCAGCGTCCACCCCACCCCCAGGCCATCGGGCCTGCGTTCATGCTCCGGCCCTGACACAGAAGGGGGCCTGGCAGGTGCCACCTCTCCTTCCTCCTCTGTGGCATAAATGGCTGTGTAATGGCAGCCACATAGCGGGGCCGCAGGAAAGCCCCACGCCCGAGGTCAAGCGCGGAGTCCAGGTGGAGGCTCGTGGGGCTTTGCTCTGGTTGTTCCTCCTAATGTTTCCGGTGGCTGGGGGGCGGGCACAGCCTGCAGGGGCCGGCGGGGGTTCGGCCGGGGCCTCCAGATTCCCTGTCCAGTGCTCTGAGCCACCCCGCGCTGCACGCCACCTGGCAGGTGCACCCCAGGGCCACCTCGGGCGATTCTGCCTTCCTCAGGTGCCAGCTCCGGCTTTCTTTGGGGCAGTCATCCAAAGGACGCCTCGTCCAAAGGCCCCCCAGCTGCCTCCACATCACAGCCGGGAGGGCCATCAATCATCAGCAGCCTGGGCCTTGGAAGGGAGTTGGGTCATCCCGCTGCACAGAGCCCGTCTCCGTAATTCAGTTTTAAAGCATGAGAAAAGGGAGTTGATGAAATTCCGCTATCAGCGCCAAGCCAATATGCAAAATATCTCACCCCCAATCAAATAGCTATTATGTTTTCATTTCCATTTCGGCGTCCGGCTTAATGAGCAGGAGACGGATCGGCTGGCGGGGCGTCTGCTCGCCGTGATAACTGAGGGGCTTCGGGCAGCGGGGGCCGGACCCAGTGCTGGTGACCACCGTCACCACCCGTGGACGCCCCAGACAGGTGCTCGGCCTTGGGCCCAGGCCTCTCCTCGCGCCAGGCAATGGGGCCAGCGTCACCCTCACCCCAGGTCATCAGCGGACGGGGGGGAGGCATGGGGCCACACCTGCAGCAGAGGAGGGCCGTGGCCTCAGCAGCGTCCACGTGGGTGGTGTGTGTGGGGAGTCGGGCTCCTGCCAAGGGCCACAGGCAGGTCAGTCCACGTGGCCGGGCCTCCGTTGACTATTCCGCGAAGCGGGCATGACTCGGCCTCACCTCTGGGGTGTCGGAAGGCTCCCAGGCACCCGCCCATCGTGCCTGGCGTCAGGGCCTGCCTCTTGCGGGCCCCTCCCTCCTGCTGGCCCTCCACCCCTGGGCTGCGAGGTGGGCAGGGGGCTTCAGGGAAGACATTTGTAGAAGGCTGCGCACAGGGCTCCCATACAGGCGGCGCTTAATAATAGCAGTGCCCTGCTGGGTGCTGGGTGGTAGCAGCTGATGCCGGTGACGGGTGGTGTTTCCTGCGCACTTACTACGTGACAGGCGCTGACCGCGGCTCCACACAGGTGAAACCGAGTTTCGTCCTGCGGGGCCAGAGCCGTTCTGCTTTCCGACCACAGGAAGGTGGAGTGACTTGCCTGTAGTCACACAACAAGGACACCGCCTGCCTGGCCATGGGTTGGCCTGGCTCCGTAGTTGGGGTGTCTGACCATACAGGGCCCCACAGGGGTCGAGCAGGGTCCTTCCTAGCCCAGGGCACCCCGGGAAGCAGCTGCGTCTCACCCCAGCCAGTGGAGAAAGCTTCCTCCCAGGTGGAGTGGGGACCCAGGTGCACAGGTGGCCCGGGGGTGTCGGGGGGCTCCAGCAGTGGCTCTGAGGCAGATGTGGGGCAGGGCTGGGGCAGGAGTCGCAGCGTCGCATCCCGCTGTGGGCCTGGAGCCGTTCGCTGGTTGATGACTGTCTGCTGTGTTATCAGCGTGTTAATTGTGCTGGAATGAATTAGCGCGTTAGGGTAAATTGCTGCAGCCGCAGCCTCTTTCTTCACGCTCCTGTCACGCTTTGTGCGGAGCGGGTGCCTTTGTTCTCCCACAAATGGAGCCGCCAGGAGCTCAGGGCCTCCCTGGGTGGCTGAGGCCCACCTGGGCGGGAGAGGCGTGTGCCCGGCATTGCCCGGGTGCAGGGCTCTGGTCGCTGCAGTCCCCGAAAGCAGAGGCTTCACACCCATTCTCCAGAGCCAGCCGCTGAGGCCCTGAAGTCCCGGCGTCGGCAGGAGGGACCACAGCTCTGGGGCACCATCTCCAGCTCTGAATGAGCCGCAGAAGCACCTGGGCTTCTAGAAGGAGTTAGGCAAGCAGGCCTGCGAGCTGTCCGCCAGGGCAACCGGCAGTGCGGGCTGGGGGCCAGTCCCACGGCCCAGGGAGCCTCTGCCTTCCTGCCCCGGCGTCTGCCAGGGGAGGTCACGGGGGGTCAGGCCTCTCACCTGTCCCAGAGGCACGAGTCGGGTGTGCCCAGCCCGCCGCAGAGCCCACCATGCGGGCGCGTTGATGAGAGACCGTGAGGCTTAGCCCAGGGCTGGTTCTGTGTGGTCTGAGCCCGGCCTCGGCCACGGGAAGTGACGGGAGGTGAGTGCCTGCGCTCCTGCTATCAGTACAGCTCTGAGGGGTCCCGGGGAGCCCGGGGCCCGTGGGTCTGTGGGGCCAGAGCTAGAATCCAGAGGGTGCAGCCGGACAGGTGTCTGCACAGGAGGAGCTGGGGAAGGTGGTGGGGCAGGGGGCAGCGCTGCCCGGGCACCTGTCTCGGGCCCCAGGGCCCAGCTGAGACGGGGTGGAGGGGGCCTGTGGGGGATTCGCAGAGCGGTGTGAAGCGGGACAGCTGTTCTCCGCCGTTCTCTCCGCCCACAGCGCTGGCACTGCCCCTCTGACCTCGGGGGCACAGGTTGCCACCCTGGCCTGCACTCCGGGACACGCTGTGGGTCTGGCTTCGCCACCCTCCTAGGTGGTCTGGGGACTCAGTCTGCCTTCCCACCTGTACGGAGGGCTCCATGGGGCACCCCCCGCGTGAGGCCTGAGGGAGGATTAGTGGGCCGCGGAGGCTGGACTGCAGACGCTGCGCACCCACCTGTGTCCCATCAGCCATTTACCCCCTTAATCAGGCTGACGAGCTCTTCCTGTGTGCCAGGCACCGGGGCCCGCCCTCTGCACGTTCCCTCAGAACCTCAGACCTCAGAACCTGAGTGTGGCAGCTTCCTGGAGGAGGGGTCCCAGGCCCAGGGGGCAGGTGTGCAGAGCCCCGGGAGATGTTTACCTGCGGGGGTTGTGGATGTGCGCCGGGACCCTGGGACCCCGCAGAGTGTGCGCCTGCATTTCGGCAGCCCCCAGAGGCCCCGCCCAGAAGACGCCAGCGCTGCGCTGCGCTCTCGCGTGGAGCAGAGGAGAGGGGAGGGGTCGGGCTGCCCGGGGTCAGCGTCCCGGCAAGAGCGGCCCGTGGGGTCGGCAGAGGCTGCGGGGCAGGCGAGGTGAGCAGGAGGCCGGTGGCCCCCAGGCGTTGGTGCAGGGCTTGGGGTGGGTACGTGGGTGGGGTTCGCACATCTACTCATGGGGGACCTGGGGGAGAGCCCCCGTGCTGACGGCCGCTCCCTCGAGGCCTCTGACCGCCTGGGGGGCCGAGACCCTGCTCGGACCCCACTGCACCCGGCCCCGGGGCTGTGCCTGTGCCGGGGGGGTCAGGACGCCGGCTGTGGGGGGCAGCGCCTCACGACTCCCCTGGGGCTGTGTCTGCAGGTTCCCTCAGAGACATGGAGGCCAGAGAAGAGGCCCAGGCCGTGGACACCGGCCTCCCGGAGCGAGAGGCCACAGCCCTGGAGCCCGAGCCCCCGAGCCCTTCCAGTCCAGGTGAGTCGGGCGGTGGACGTGGCAGGCTGGGCCCTGGCATCCTGGCACCCTTCCCCGCGTCCGCATCCTCGCTGCGACTTCACGGGAGCCAGTTCCCGCTGAGGACTCAAGTTCTCACACCTGCGAAATGGGCGTTGCACCGAGCGGCGTCTGTGGGCTGCCCGTGCCCACTGGGGCTTGGAGGGGCTGGTCCGGGTAGAGGAGATGCACACACCTGCAGAGGGTCTGGGAAGCCCAGCCCTAGTGGCAGAGATGGGCAGAGCAAGGCCCCGGTGGGGAAGGTCTAGTCCAGGGTGAGGCAGGGGGTCATATGGGCACTGAGTGACCTGGGGAAAGCCACACCCCTTCCCGGCCTCCGTGTACCCTCGATGAAACGGGCTTGCGTGCCTCAGCAGACGTGGGGCTCGGTACCGAGCAGGTTCTCCTGTTAAGGCAAATCACCCCATTTTACAGACGGGCGAATGAGGCCCAGAGAGGTTAAGTGACTTGCCCAGGGTCGCACAGCCTGTAAGCACCTGAGCGGGATGCAACCCTAAGTCCGGATTCAGGTTGGTTCTCCCGTCCCCTCTGTCTGCTCCCCACCCTACCCCACCCTGGACACCTGGAACCTCTCCTGGGGCCCTCCTGGCAGTTTCCCCAGGGTTTTGGGGCACTTTTCTGAAGCTGAGAACAGGACTCGGAAGGAGAGACTCCCACACACACACCCAGGGCTGAGTTAACCTGACATTAGGAGGCCTTCTCTGTCTGGGTCCCCGGAGGGGCCTCAAAGCCGGGCCATCCTCTCAGGCCCGCTGTGCCCTCAGAGACCCCCAAAGACCCCCCAAGAGTCTGGGCCTCACTGCGGTGGAGGCCCTGGGGGAGGTCAGTGCCCTCACCCCTGTTTTCCAGAAGGGGGAGCTGAGGCTGGGGGGTTAGCGGAGGGAGGCTTGGCGGGGTGGGCTCTGCCCTGGCCCCTGCTCTGAGCCCCGCTCCCCTCGCCCCCCTGCACCCTGCCGGCCGTGGACAGCAATCTCACATCCCCATTCCATACCACGAAGCCCTTGTGCACAGAGGCTGAGTTACCCCCAGACAGTAGTCCCATGGGGGAGACGTAGCCACAAATGGGGCCGTTTTAGTGGGTGGTGTGACCAGGAATGAAGGCAAGATGGGGTGGGTGTGGCAGTGAGCAGAAACCTGCAGGACAGGTAGAGTTCCTTGTGCTACACACACCTGTACGTGCAAAGGCCCTGGGGTGGCACAGAGAGGGGACAGGAGGAGAGCCCTGCAGGGCTGGGACTGGGGGGTGGAGATCCTACACAGACGGTGGGGGGCTCCTCACTGTGGACCCCCATCCCCAGAATGTGCCAGAGTCTCCCCCGGCTGACCACAAGCCCCCAGTAAGCCTCGTCCTCTGAGACCCGCTGGCCTGTGTCCCTTTGCCCAGCGGCAGCCCCTTGGGGTCACTGGGGCTGTGCAGTGAGGAGGAGGCTAGGCTAGCAGGACTTGAAACCAAGGCAGGGGCTCCCGTCACCCGCAGCTGCCCCGGGGCAGCAGGCGGGGTGGAGGCTCAGGGACTGGGCTCTGGCGCTCTGTTCACAGCTGTTACTGTCTCTACCCTCACCGTCACCATGAGTGTTTAGTGCTGCGGCCAGCGTTCACCCCGGCCTGTCCCCGCCCGGGCTCCTGCCCTTTCTGAGCCTTGGTTTCCGCATCTGTAACGGGGCGCCAGCCCCTCCGAGGGCCCAGGGAGTGGCGAGGGGCCCCCCATCACCACCACCGTCATCGGGTGCTGTGTGCTAATGGGGGCCACGCTCTCCAAAGGGCTAGCGGCTGGTTACTGGTGGACTTTGCCCTGGGGAGCCGGGCCTCTTATCTGATCTGGGAGCTGGGCTGCACGGGGTGGGGGCGGGGGCGGGACTGGGGAGGAGCTGGAAAAAAACAGCCGGGGTTGCACCTGGCACAGGCCTCAGTGATAACGCGCCGATGGGCGCGATAAGACGGCAGGAGCAATGTCTGCCTGTCGGGCGGGCCCGGTGCGGCTCCCGCGCAGTGGCTGGAGCTCGGATGCCAGCCGCGTTGATTTATAGCCAAAAATAATAGGACTTTTATACCGTGTGATTGATTTATTCGATGTTAATCACGGCCCTTATCGCGGGTATTAATAATCTGCCGGGCACGTGACGTCACCAGGGGGGGGGCTTTTACGGGCCTCATCGATTGGGGGCCGTGGTGGTTATCGGGCCCAGCAGGGAAGGCAAATATGCCCTTTGGGCTGGAATTGGGTGCGGGGCCTGGCGGAGGAGCCCCCAGCTGCCGGCCGAGGAGACCAGGGATCCGGGCCACGCGTGTGCCTGCTGGCCTGGGCGTGCCGGGCGGGCAGCTATCGCTGCCGCAGTTAATAAGGGGCTGAGGGCTTTTCAAGGCCAAAAATGAAGGGGGAGAAACTGAGATGTCTGACGGCGCCCCCTGAGAGCAAGCTGGTGGGGGGAGGGTGGTGGCCGGAACTGTGCCACGTGCTCACCCACCTGGGCCTCAGTATCCCTCCCGGCCACAGGCTGGGGTGGGCGGGCAACTCGGTGCCCCGAGGCTCAGTAGAACCTTCTGGTGTTTTCCTTCCTGCAGATGCTACTCCTCCACCCCCACCGCTACCACCCGCCCCCACGTCCCCAGGAGGCTCTGAGGAGACGGAGGGTCCGGAGCCAGAGACGAGGCTGGAGGAGGAAGAGGCCAGCAGCCCCTGGAGCGGGCCAGGTAAGCGCGCCTGTGTCCGGGGTCTGGCGGCCTTGTCTCTCCAGGGCAGCCCTGGGGCCCAGCCTTCTGGGGGTCCTGGGAGCTGGCCACCCTGACAGCACGGGTGCAGCAGGCCCAGGTCTGTCCTGTTGCAAAGTCCAGCCAGCCTGTGGGCCAGCGGCTTCCCTGGAGGTGGGCGCCAAGCTGTGCCGGTGCTCAGGGCTAAACCCCAGGCCCCTAGCAGCAGATACGCCTCTGAGGCTTCCCTGGAGGTGGGAATGTGAGTCTGGAGCGGCCCGAGTACCTGCGCCTTCCCAGCCCAGCTAGGGGCTCAAGCCTGTGTGGGTGGAGGGGACCCACCCCTGGGTGGCTGCAGCGGGGGGCCGGAGGCCGTTCCAAGCCACCGGGTCCTGGATCAGGAGTGTCTTTGAAGGCGGTTTCGTGCTCCCAGCACTGCCCCACCCCCGCTTGTAGCTGGAATTCTGACCTTGGAGGGCCCACCAGATGTGTTGTGCCCGCGGCTCCCCGCTTCCACCGACGTATGAGTATAGGGCAGGCTGGGCGCGTCGGCTGTTGTCATGCTTCCTAAGTACAAGTGACGTGGCTGAGGGGAACCGGGGCAGTTCGGAGGGGTCCTGGGAGCTGCTGGGTGAAGGAGGGAGGGCGTGGTCCTCGGGAACAGAGGGAGAGAATGGAGGTTGCGCACTCAGGCCGGGCGCACGTGCACGTAGCAAGCACACATCGAGCACCTGCTGTGTCCCCGAGGTACAGCTCTGAGCAAACAGGGTCCTCAGAGAGCTGTGATGACACAAATGCAGTCAGTGGCCAGTGGAAAGGAGGCACGTGGCAAGGGCCTCATCTTGCCGGGGGGTCAGGGAGACCACACCAGGGCAGAGAGGACCCCCATGGTCTCCCAGGGGTGTCAGAGATGGCCTCCTGCCAGGTTCAATTTGAGTGGCCATGTGGACCCTTCATCAGGATCCCAAGGTGTCAGGGAAAGAGTGCTGGGATCGATTAGTGATGTCTGCGTGGCACCAAGGAGGTGAGGTGGCACGTGTGCCTTCTGGTCCCCCTGCTGGTTTAACACACCTCCTCCTACAGCAGGTAGGTGTCTGAGGCCCAGAGAGGGAGGGATGGGCCTGGTGGTCCCAGCCTAGATGGTGACCCCAGACCACTGGGAAACAGTCTACTGCCAGCGTCTCCCACCTGCATGGACCATGGTGCTGCCTGGGAGTGAAGCATCCTGGGTCAGACAGGCTGGGGGTCCCCTCTGCTGCCCCAGGACGGGAATGGGGCTTAGCACAGGGACACCGCTGCCCTCCGGATGGACTCGGCCGCCCCCCACCCCACTTCAGTGACTCAGTGACAGGCAGGGGAGGGGCCCCAAGGGCCCTGGCAGGGACGTCCTCTCCTCACAAGGAGCACCTGGCCAGGGACAGGTCGTGTGTGTATGAGCCCCTCACAGCCCGGTCGGGCGCAGCTGAGCCAGGTACCCACCTGCCGGGGCTGGGCCATTCCGCACGCAGGGGACAGTGCTGTGGGGCTGGTGCCCGTGGTCAGACCGCTCTGCTGCCTCCGTTTCCCCAGCTCTAGGACAGGGTAACGACGAAGCACCCAGAGACGCTGGCTCAGCGCTGCCTCGGCCCGTGGCGCGCACATTCCAGGGACCGCCTGGTGCCTGTGGGCCCTGATCGGCCGCTGGGCAGGCGGGGGGCTGAGAGAGCAGCTGCTGGATAGGGTGACCGTGGGGAGGAATGTGCGAGGCGGTCCTCACACCAGCCCCTCGAGGCAGGGGTGAGGCGACCCTCCCCTTTACGGAGAGATCCAGGCACAGAGCAACTAAAGGGTCTGTCCACGTCACCACCCGCGAGGGGGCACAGCCAGGATGCAGACCCGCCGCCTGGCAGCAAGTGTGTAGACGCAGCCTCAGCTGTCCTCCGGTCGGTCCCCGCCCACCCTGCGGACTTAGTATCACCGTCCCCGTTTTACAGATGGGAAGGCAGAGGCCCCTGGAGATTGGAACCTGGCCGCGGGGGCCGTGGCTTGGGTGGGTGCACCCAGGAGCTTCCTGCGCTATTTGCGTCCTCGGGGGCTGGGGGGCTCCCTATCGGCCCCCACAGATAGGAATTTCTGTGCAGTGGGCAGCGATGGCCCGATAAGCAGCCTCCGGCCAACCGCCGTGGTGGCCGCCCCCTATCAGACCCCAAACAGGCCACACTTATCACCCGGCCGGGAAGCCAGAGAGGCCCCGTGGGCTCTTATCTCACAGGGGCCGCCGTGCTGGCGATACGGTGGCAGGCTTGCCTGGGTCGCCGTCCCCAAGGGCAGTGCCCAGCCCGGGAACTGGCGGGGGGACAGGGGTGTCCAGCGGGGCCTTCGCTGCAGGTCCTGGTGCCCTGTGAGCTTCCCCGGCCCCTTTCCCTTCGCTGTCCCTCTGGGCCCCGCCCCTTCGTGTCTCCTCCCACCCCACCCTCTGAGTTTGTCTTTTGATCTCCACTTGCCCCTCCTGCCCCGTCCCCCATGGGGAAAAGTGCAGCCCTGGGGACCCGACCTGTGCCTGGGGGCACCCCCACCTTTCCCTCTGGGATGGCGGGCTGGTCTGGACCACAGGGCACCCTGTGCCATCTGGCTTTGAGGAGTGACTGGGCCCCAAGCCTCGGTTTCCCATGTGAGCTGCGTGAGGGGAGGCCCTGGAGGCCAGGGCTCGCACACACCTTGTGCCGCCCCTGCAGGTGGTCGCCCCCATCTCGCCTTTCTGGCCACTGTCTGCTGGCCAAGACTTGGCTTGTGGGTGAGACCCATCGCCCGGGGAGGGTGCTGACACTGCAGGGTCCCAGGGGCAGGTGACATCAGCCCGGCAGAGAGGCTGGGTCTCAGTGCCTCTCTCCAGCTGCATGGTGGGTGCAGCGCAGCTGCCCTGCCTACAGCAGTCAAGGCCCCGAGCAGGTGGCCACAAAGACCCCCAGGAGATACCACACGGCACCAGGCAGGAGGGAGGCCTCCCAGCTCCTGTCCTCCCAGGGGGCTCTCGACACGCGCTGCAGACACAGCGAGGTCCTGGACCCTTGAGGGCTTTGTAAACACGAGAGTGCGGGTGTGCAAGGGGCCTGTTCTCTCCGGGCCTTGTTACTGTCCCCACGCTAGCTCCCTCCTCCCACCCGTGACCCGGCGACCCCAGAGCTCCCGACCCAGGCTGGGATGTGGTCAGTGTCGTGGTCACTTTTGGACGTTGTGACCATCATCAGGTCACAAGCTGCCGGCGGCCAGTTCTCAAGTGTGACTTCAAGTGGGAACCACCCCCACCCCAGCAGTGCTGAGAGGCCGGAGCCAGCCTGCCTGCCTGCCTGGGCTGGGGTCCAGCTTTGCTGAGCGACTGTGGGCTGGTTACTCGACCTCTCTGGGCCTTAGTTTCCTCATCTGTACAAATGGGACGCAGGGCAGAGCAGCTCCCCACTCAGTCCCGTCATCTTGCCCTGGTGGCCCGGGTGCCTGTGGGTAGGGGAGGGGACGTGTAGGCAGGTTCCAGGGAGAAGCTGCTCTCTGAGACCAGAATTCCACTGTCGAGCAGGAAGGCACCGCAACCCCTTGGCCAGCTGAGCACATGGCCATGGAGCGGGGAAGGGAGGGTCCACCTCTCATGCCCCTACTGGTGATGGGCACCTTGGCCCAGGGGTCCCCACTGACGGTCAGGAACCCGGGATCCAGGCTGGGTCAGAGACCGCTTGGCCTCGGAGATGTCACCTCCCTCCTCTGAGCAGTTTGGGCAGCAGCCGCTATGTGGGTGGGTGAGGCTGGAGCAGAGGCCACGCTGCACGGTGCAGGGTGAACGCCTGCTGCCTCGGGAGAGGCCGGGGCGTCCTGCGTCCTCATGGAGCCCAAACGCCACCGGCGAGCCAACCGTGGACTGGGTGGGAAGGCAGGGGTCCTAGACGGAAAGGTGACCCTGAGGGGCCTGAGGGCACGAGGTCCGCGTGGACGTGGGCGTGGAGAGTGCCGGGCAGAAGCACAGCCCACACCAGGCTCCCGGGGGAACTGAGCAGGGTGCCAGGTGGGCGGGGGGGTTGGTCCCGAGGGAGATGGGGGTCCCCTCGGGTTGCCTCAGGGAAAGTGGATGAGAGCAGAGCGGGGGACCCACCCCCCGGCTGAGGGTCTGTGGGGAATGGCCCGCCATGGGCAGGGGGCTGCCCTGCCCGGCCCTACCCGGCCCTCATCTTCCCTTGAGCCGCTGGCTGGAGTGTGAAGGGAGAGGGGTTGGGCAGCAGGGACCCGGAGAGCTGGGTATTTTTATCTTTGAAATGACCTTGTGCGCTCAAGGGGCTGGCTGTTTAAAATTCTGATATGCAGATGGCTGAGAGCTAGAATCTGAAATCCCCAAGGCGCATCTGGGAGGGTAGCTGCCACTGCCTTAGCTCTGTGGTCCCCGGTGCCCTCTGCCCATCAGGGTGCGCGGCCCCCAGTGACCCGCTGCCCCCTCTGTCTCCACACTTGACATCCAGAAAAAGCAGAGGGTCGTGCAGACAGGCAGCCCCCACAAGGGCTGAGAGCCCTGAGGGTCCCTTCCGACTGTGGGGTCCTGAGCCTGTCACCTACCTCATGACCCCCGTCGGAGCCTCTGTCCAGTGGCAGTCACCATGACCTCCTGGCCAGGTCATGAGAAAACGGAGGGAGGGCAGTGAATGGACGCTAGGCCTGGGTTTGGGGCCCCAGGCCTGGGTTTGGGGCCCCAGGGGTCCGGGAGCCTCCTCTGCAGCCAGATCTCGTGGGGGGTCCCCTCCACCCAGGGACTTGCCTGGGGTGGACCAAGCAGGTGTCACTCCTCTGCCCTCCCCACCCCACTGTGTCCCGCACAGGGGAGGTGAGAACGAGCACACATCCATCCAGGTCTCTGACAGCTTGTCTGGGAGGCAACGTGGTTCAGACATCCCGAGTTCAGGGCTGTCCACTGGGGGTGCCGTGCGGAGCTGGGGAGCAAGGTGATGAACCCAGGGGGCCCACAGGGGCTCCCCATTGGCTCTGGGGGC